AGTGTCTCCTTTCTACTTTAATCATTCTCATGGTTATATCTAAAAGTTATGAAACAATGAAAGATACACAATATAACTATGGATAAGGAAAAATTCTAGGGACCTACCAAGAAAATCCACAGTATCAACTGAGAAACTATGAAAACTAGTAAAGTTCGGTAAGGAAGTTGATTTTCAAGTGAACATATGAAACTTGACAGCTTTCTTAATTATAAGTAATAACAAGCCTGAAAACAATAATCTCTATCATAAGAGAAACCAAAAAAAAATACATAAAATACTTAAAAGTAAATAGAAATGAACAGAACTTACAAGAAAACTAAAACTTAGGTGAGTGCATAAAAAATGAATAAACAAACCTATACACCATGTTCCTAAGCAGTGAGACTTAATACAAAAAATTCATTTTGTCAAAAAAAAAAAATCAATTTCTCTCAGATTATTCTAGAAGTTTCATACAATGGAAATTTTTTGGCACTTGAAAAAACTATTTGAATACTATTTAGAATAAACTATTCTGAAAATAGGTAGAAAAAATTCTTAAAATTGTTTTTGAAAAAGACTACAGGGTGTTAGCTGTACTGTACAGTCAGTTAACCAAAAGTGATGCTAGAGCAACAAGACAGAAACGTCAGGATCATTAAAATCAAGGGTACTAGAGCAACAAACAGCCCCCAAACAAATGCTAGTCCATAGCTTCTGAGAACTGTGGTATTTCAAACCAGAGGGGACAAATAATATAACTAGGAAGTCAGAACAATTCAACCGAGATTCCAGAAGTCAGGAACTAGGGACAATAGTGGTAACTCACCAACCAGTTTCCAAACTGTTTTTACTAACCACACCATGTTTCTGTAAGAGTTCCCACAGAGCAACCACATACAATGTCTTCTAAGCAATGTTTCCTCCCCTTCTTTTACTAGAGGGTCAGGAACAGAGTTGCAAATGAGATAAATGTAAATATTTGAGAAATAACTCAATTTATCAACATTTTAAAATTCTTTGGAGAAAGAATGGGTTCAGCTGTAGCTGCTTAACTACTAACAACAGGATTAAGTAAAATATAAACACTGAAAGCATATTATCAAATGCACTTGAAAAAGGCTGAACTAATTTAACACTCCTACCAGCACAAAAAGTACCCCTTTTCCCTAGTCTTCAGCAACCTATGTTCATTTTCTTTCAGAAATTCTACTTGGAGGAACTGGTGGCAAAGCAATAATCAGAAATACACACAAAAAAATAATTAAGGATATCAACCATATCACAACTTATAATTTTGAAATGCTGAAAACTTAAATTCCCAAACTGTTAACATTAAAATAATCACTGTACATTACTCAACAGAATATTATATAAACTTTAGTAATGATGTCACTGAAAATACTGAATGGCATGGGGAGATTTTTTTATAAAATACTGTGCAGTAAAAATAGTTTTGGTGAATTTTCATATTGTAAAACCAATCTATGAAAGGATAAAATTTAATTTCATAATTGTGAATAAGTCTGAGGATAGATAACAAAATGCTAAACAGTGGATTTTCTCCTCTTCCTACAGATTCTTCTCTAAATGGTTTTTAATTTACCAAATTTCCCACATAAAGATCCACTGCTTAGGGTGCCTGGGTGGCTCACTCAGTTAAGTGTCCCACGTTTTCGCCTCATGTCGTGATCTCAAGGTTGTTGAGATCAAGCCCCGCATCAGGCTCCCTGCTCAGTGCGGAGTCTGCTTAAGACTCTCCCTCTCCCTCTCCCTCTGTGGCTCCCCGCTGCGTGTGCGTGCTCTCTCTCTAAAATAAATAAATCTTATATATAAAAAAAAGATCTATTGCTTGATAATCAGAAAAAAATATTTACAGCTGGCAGACAAAGATATTCCACATTTGTGAATTTGTAACTAAATAATTATACATACAAATATTTTGTACAATAATGTTGATCTCAGCATTATTTAAAATAGAAAATAATTAGAAACAACTTAAATGTACAACAAGAAAGGTTTAGGTAAGTTATAGTAGCTCTGGAGGATGTCCATTTAAACTCTGTTTCAGAGGAATATTTAATGACCAGAAAAAGTGTTAACAATGTAATGTTTGGTTAACATAGACTGTGAAACTGCATGGGTTACAAGCCTTATTTTTTAAAATAAATACCTAACTGTGTATATGTAGAAATCATATATTGCCTTAGGAAAAAAAAAAAGGCTAGAAGAAAAAATTAATACTAAAGTGATTATCTCTGGATGATGCATTGTTGATGGTTTTAATTTTCTTACCACCACCTCTGTTATCCAAATTCCCTACAAGGTTGAGTTTGGAAAGTATGATAAACACCCAAGAATACCCAAAGGGCAAGTGCTAAGGAGAAGGGGAAATTTTAAAATAAAGCAGCCATCTGTCCCATTGCTTTGATTTGGTTTCAGTTATAGAATTTTATTTATTTTAAATTTAAAATGACACTAAAGGAAGAGGTTTTTTATGTATCACATAGAGGTATAGGTTTTAAAAAATTTTTTAATAAATAAATTTAAAAAAAATAGAGCACTGCTCCAAAACATAAGCTTTTAATTTTATTTATTTACTTATTTATTTATTTATTTATTTATTTGAGAGACAGCGCAAGTGAGTGAGCATGCACAGAGGGAGGGAGAGAGAAAAGGAGAAGGGGAATTTCAAGCAGACTCCCTGCTAAGTGCAGAGCCCAACACGGGGCTCGATCTCAGGACCCTGAGCCAAAATCGAGTCTGCCACTTAACCAACTGAGCCTCCCAGGCACCTTTGTAAGCTTTTAATTTTAAAAATTAAAATACTTAATAAAGTTTAAAGTAGTAAGAGTACTATTTTATAAAAGTAAATAAACAAGTATAGTTAATAAAGATGCCATCTACGTATAGCTCTACAATTTGAAAATTATTTCAGGAATAGAAAGCCTTTTTTATATTTATATACTCGCAAGGAGCACCCAAAATGCAAACATAATTCCATTTAATTGATTGTCCTTTTCTCCTCTAAAATACTATGTTAGCATTATGCTTACAAGTTAAATAGGGAAAACAGGAAGTTCTTTAATTGTTGTAACATTCTGAATGAGTTTCAAATAAGGTAATTTTTAAAAAATATATGAATTTAAGGTCAAAAATAAATTTTTCTAAGAAATGTGACATTCAATGATTACTAGTTATGTCCCCAAATCCCAAAAATAAAGAATGTGAAATAGATTTGTATCAAGAATATTCTTATCACTCTTCATGCAAAATATAACCAGACTCCTCAAACAAAATATACATATTTAAAATGGATTAATTACTTAAAATATTTAAAAACTTTAAAGTGTTTATAACTAAACCAGATTATTAATCTACCTAATCTTCCTATGATTATTGCATTAAATTAGTGAATTTGACTAAAGCTTTTATCCCACACATGTAACATGTAATCATTCAGTGTATACAATTTCCTATTTTCCACGAAAATAATGACAACTGAGTACAACCTCTTCAACTCTTGAAAGCTATAATTTTCAGAAATGCCCCTTAAAAAGCATCATCATATTCATACTTTTAACAGCTTTAATATTTTTGCTGGTACAACACTACAGTTTTTAAAAACTCTCTCATGAGAAAAAAAACAATGAAACTAAAAGCTGGTTCTTGGAAAAGATGAAAAAAATTTAAAAAATTCTAGCAGGACTGACAAAGGAAAACAAAGAGAAAACACAAATTACTATTATCAGGAATGAAATGGGGTGTCACTACAGATACTGCACACCTCAAAAGGTTAGTAAGGGAATACTGTGACCAAATAAATCTACATACACTTTTGACAATTTATAAGAAATAATCAATTCCTAAAAAGCACAAACTATCACATACCATAACTCATTCAAGATGAAATAATATGAACAGCCCTAAAACTATTAAAGAAATTCAAAGACTATCAAAAAAGAAATCCTTCCAGACCCAGATGGTTTTACTGGAATTCTACCAAACACTTAAGAATTAACACGAAATCTACACAAGCTCTTCCAAAAAACAAGAGGAGGGAACATTTCCCAACCCATTTTATGAGGTCAGTATTACCATGATACCAAAACAAAATATAATACAAAAAGAAAAAAGAAAACTATAGTTCAATATCCCTCCTGAATATAAATGCAAAAATTCTTAACAAAATGTTAGCTATTATACACAATGACCGAGTGGATTTTATTCCATGGATAAAAAAAGGCTGGTTCAATATTCAAAACTCAATCAATGTAATATGCCATAGCAGCAGTCTAAAGAAGAAGAAAATCGTATCATCAGACCAACTGATGCAGCCAAAGCATATGACAAAGTTCAACACCCACTCATGATAAAAGCAAAACAACTCAGCAAATAGTAATAGAAGGAAACCTCAACCACATTTTAAAATTTGCAGAAAACTACAGCTAACATCTTATTGAAAGGTGACCGATAAAGGAGTGGCACAAGGCTGTGTGGTGATAGAAGTATTCTGTATCTTAATTATGGTGACTAGTTCAAGAATCTACAAATGTAATAAAATGTCATGAAACTCTGCACCCACACTGCACCAATGTCAAATCCTGACTCTGGAAGATGTAGCCAGTTGAGGAAATTCAGTGAAGAGAACATGAGACCTTTCTGCAACTTCTATCACATTTCTATGAGACTATTCAAAATTAAAAAAGATTACTTTATGTAATTCTCTTCTAGATGAACTGACATTAAAAACTAGACTTTATGCAGCATAAGTAATGAATCTTTAGCTGTACTTGGATGAAATCAAAGATACTCACTGCATTTTAAAGGGTTTTTCACCAACAAAGCAAAGCTCGGTTTATTTCAAATTTTGCATAATAAATACCTGAATTTTGAGAACTACAGAAAACAAAAGAACAATGAACCTTTTTTAAACACGTCAATAAAAAAAAAACTTATGTCCTTCAGTTATGATGCCTGCATACTTTCTAAAATTAGGGGAACAAAACATGTCTTACCATAATTAAATTGACTGTTGGACTTTTCGCAGTTAATGATGTTAAACCTATAAGCAACACCTGGTCGCATTCCACTGACTTCAAAGTAAAACCACTGGTGATAATGATTGCTATTTATATCTGAGTTCAAAATAAGGTCATATTCACTTCTGAAAATAGAAAATAAAGAAATCTGATGAAAATCAGGAAAATATCTGTGTACGGACAAAATGAGAAAATTTTAAATGACTTACTTTCTAATTTGAATTACTTTGCGCAGATTCCCAGATTCAAATTTGGAGTTAAACTTCAAAATATCTCCCTCTTCTGGAATAGTGTAACTAAATAAAATTTTTAAAGTAAGTATAATAAAATACATTGCACGTAAGTAGGTGAACAAAAGATAAATAAAACTACACTACAAATTAAAAATATACCACTATGGCTACTTCACCCTCCTCATTGTTTTTAAACCAAAAAATATAACCAACACAAGCAAAACACAAACTCTGGCTAACATTTACAGATTTAAAAATTATAACTACAAGTAGAGATGTGTTCCCACATTTATAGTGAATGTTAATCACAAATAAGAAATTTTGCCTCACTGAATAAATGTCATTCCTAAATACTAAAAATCATATAAAAAGGCCAAATGTATTTTTTAAGAGGCACATGACCTGTATTGAGTAGCAATAATTCTAATTAAACTACGTAGTTCTCAGGTGAAAATATTAAATTTACAGAGCTGTATTAGATAACAGATATTATCTTATGTAATTAGTACCAAAAAGGTGAAGGAATTATCTTCACTTTACATAGTCACTACTTTGTTATTTACTGATGCGGTTTTAGTTGTATGTCTGTCTGTTTCCCTGATTAAATACAAATTCTTGCTCTTCTGAAGCTTATATTCTAATAGGGGAAAACGAAGACTCCAAGAAGCTCAATGACTATGGCCAAAGTCATTTCAGTTACAAATAGCACTGGTATGTATGCTATACTCAGGGTTCCTGAGTTTCTCTTTTTATCACATCTGCCTTATCTGTCTGACACAGAATTGTAACCATTGACATAAGTAAGACATTTTGAATAAGTAGATTTGGTTTCCATTTTTAAGATGATTCCAAATTCAGTCATTAGCTTTGATACAGCTTTTACCCTTATTTCTCTGACAAAGATCTTTAAAAGGTGTTTCATTTCCTCCAAAAAGACCAGTAAGATGTGAAATTTCCCCCCCAAATATTAGAATGTTGAGGGGGAAGAAAACCCATTGAGGGCTAAACTTTTCCTCTGAGGAGGCAAATAATAGTCACATTCATCACTTCTAATTTTCATTTATTTACTTATATTGAAACCCTAAAATGTGATGATACCAGTGATAACCCTAAATTGTAAATAACACCAAAGCATCAAGCATCATAAACAAATGGCCTTAAAGGTCAGGAAAGTAATCAAAAGGACCAATGCACATCATAAGCAGTAAAAGATGGGAAAGAGTAGCAGGGACTATGGAGAAATTGGAAAGCACATATTCCTTCTAAAAGGGATGGTAATTTGTTGTCCCAAGGAAATGAAGGCTCATTATTACAGGACAAAACTGCAGCCTTTCAGATGAAATTTCCACTTTCTCCAATGGAGGTAATTTCAGATTTTTTTAAAACACAATATCAGTTTGTGATCTTTCCCCTTATTAAGCCCATTAAAAGTCTACCTATGAACAAACAAAAGCCTGTGGTATATTCAATTTAACATGATTAACTATTTATTCCATTACCATTATATCCCTGCTAAAAGATGAAAATGGAGTAAGGGCAAACTAGGTGGTAGTTATATTTTTTTATCTTTTACAAACAACACTGAAACTTGAGAGTACAAATAAAAGTAAAAGCAACAACAACAGCAACAGACTTACTTTGAGTTATCTAAGTCATATACCACTCGATCTATGATATCACTCTGATGTATTAACCTCTCGATATCTTGAGCAATTTTTGTCCTGAAATCATAAAAGAGAAGCGTGACTACCAAAATTCATTATTATATGCCAAGGCACAAGTTTTTCCTAATAAGTTTTGGATGAAAAAAGTATAAAATGACCAAACTTCCTTAAAATAAAAATGATCACTCCTCTATATCTGTACTCACAAATTTATCAATACACAAGAAGACAAAAACTGGTATTTTTAAAGTCTGAATTCTAGAAAATAACCATGTAGAATACAGCTATAAGTCCAATAGCTTAAAAAAAATCTTGAACGCATGTTATGACTCTCTACATAGAAATGATATGAAACCTCTCTCTAGCCCTTAAGCAAATAATTTTACATAACAGCAGTAAAGATCTAAAGCCAGAAATTATGTACAAAGGAGATTTGTTAAACCCACCCTTGCCGGAACGCAGCTAAAATGTAACTGGCAAACAGTTTACACATTCCAAAGAATCTGTGCTCTCTTCTGTGGCTGGAGAGGAAATGTGGAAGGTGAGGGGAACACTTGTGTCAGGAAGCAGAGAGTGGACCCTGAATCTCCAGGATCCTCTAGGCCTGATCTCCCCATGAATCAGTCCTACAAAATGGACACCAACTAACTGAAAAATTCCTAAAATCCCTGCCACTGTCCTAGAAGAGTGAGCCACACACAAAGCCCACAATCTTCCCTGTCAGTAATTAAGCCAAGGAATACAACAATCACTAAAAGTGGCACCAAACTGTAACCAAACCAGAACAAATTTGGATAAAGCCAGGTGCCTGGAACTCCAGGTAGACTGGCCACAAAGGTCTTGGTGGGAAGATGCCTGCTCGTGTTAACAGTCACAGTATCACTTGTCATATTAGCACTTATTCTAAAGAGGAGGCCAATTATATGAAATGATTTAAATTTCAAGTTTGTCTGTTTCAGCTAAAGATTGGTAATGCAGATTAGAACTGTGGTCTATTGACTAGACAGAGCAGAGTGGGAAAGCTTGCCAAAATGGTTATAAATAAAATCTGAAGAATACACTAAACACTGAAAGTCTCCTGAACTTCAGGTAGATGTGAAACTAGTCTCCTGCACAAAGATACTTCTTTGTGATTATGGAGTATTAACTCTCATATAGTTTAGAAATATACCTAATAATATCACAGTATAACTTCAGAATAAGCTAAGAATCTATTCTGCTGAACTAAAAATTATCAGGAAAACATTAAAAGGTGTGATAAATACAGGAAAAAGAAGGTACAACTCTAAATTTATTTTTAGTCTTATTCCACAAAAAACAACTCATCACTGTAAGCAGTCTATCAAAAATAACCCACTGCCAAAGGATTATGATATAAATCCTTGAGTTAGGTTCAATATCATAACTTTCAAATGCCAAATTCTTTCTAAAGAAACAACCTTTTAAAAAGCTATTAATAACAAACAAGTCCAAAATTTATATCACCCAGATCTTCAACAATAAAAGAGATGGCACTCACATATATTCAGATATGCCATACAAAAAAAAAAAAAAAAGTGAGTATTCAAGTATGGGTGAAAGCATAAATATATCCACTTGTCAGAATAATTTATTAAATAAGGTTGATACATAACACAAATGTGCAAAAATTAATACCTACAAAAGTCTTGAGTGGTTTTTTTTTTTTAAAGGAAAATGTTATTAATAGGCTGATACAACAGCTCAGTTCTACAGCAAAGTTCCATAACATAAGAGAGGGTCAGAATAACACAGAGAGCCATGGGCCGGCGGGTGTAACTGCGTGAGCTGACCCGTGGCGATACGGAAAACTGCAGAGCACAGCCTCTGTCTAAAAAACAAACTGACGACTGCCAGGTAGGAACCAGAGGTTAAGGTTGTCATACCAATTTTTCAAGAAACATCAGAAACTTGGATTTCTATGGGGAATCTCCCAAATTTTAAATGTTGGCAATCAGTAAAAACAAAACAAAAAAACAAACCAGTCTGCAAGTGAAGTCAAAATCATGTGCAAATTAATATGGCCTACAGGCCGCTGGTTTTCAATGTCTGACACTGTATTTTAGAGGACATAGTGGCCCGTGTATATTAGACTAAACCTAAAATTACACTTGAGGGAAATAGCTGTCCTGCCATCAGCCCTCATAAATAAAGAGGAAAACCAGTCCTTTATTCAGATATGGATTTGTGTTAAGCAGCACAAGTTTCATAAAATATCAATCCTTCCTTCCTTTACCTCACCTGTCTATTAAAATATATGGCTCTCCAGTCAAAACAAAACAATAAATATTTTCCAGGTACCCTCTGGGACTATAACCTCAAACCTACTGATATTCAGTATCTATCAAAGGCTTGGCCCAGAAGATAACTCCTGCAGGGCAGCCTGAACAGTAAATACTCAGAAGGTCACGTGATATGTGGCCACCAGCAAAACTGTCCTGTGTTAGTTAGGTTTTAACCCATACAGAGCAGCCTTACAAGAAACAATTTAATACATCTCAATGCTGTACTTGCTATAAGGATGTCATGGGAAATGTTGTTCATTACAGAAGTACTCCCCGAGGAGCCACAGAAGATAATCTTTATAGAGAGTACGGTTCAAGCACATACACATGATCTCTATATAAGGAATGAACAGGACTGGCTCGTGACCTAGACCAGAGTTTGATTCTTGGCTCTGCCGTTTACTAACGGCGTAACCTTGTTGCTCAAAAACCCTAAGCTTCAGCACAGCCTTGTGTAAAATAAGAGGAAGAAGAGCAATTTCCTCACAGAGCCATTATAACATGAAATGGCATACTTCCTATACACATGTACACTGCGCAAAAAGTGATTTTACTCAGTTCTCTGGCTCATAAACATCATCTACCACTGCTGCTCCTACTAAGATTTCTACCACTGTCTCCATTCCAGAAGTACTTACATTTCCCCTGAGCCATCCTAGACTTACTATAAGGAAATCCAGGGTTTTGCTTTCCTTATTTTGCTTTTGCCACAATTCTTTCACCTACTTTTTAATTTTAAATTTCTGAACACGTAATATATAGACAGGGAGCAAAAATCATATGCTACATAAAAGTATAAGATGGAGACTCTCAACACAACCCATATCCACCCTCCATCTAGTTAACTACTTGTATTACTTTCCCTCCGCAAGCACCTTATAGCTCCTTCCATCAGTGCCTAGAGATTTTTCTGTTTTTTAATCACTGCACAGCATTCACAGAAAAGATATACCATAATGTATTTAACTAGTCTGAATGATGAGCACAACGCCATAATGAAAAACTTTGAACACCATTTCACAGATGTGCGAATTATATGTATATATATCATGCATATAAATTATAAATTCCCAGATGTGGGATTAATGTGTCAAAGGAAATATGTACTGTTAATCTTGATAGACCCTGTCAGACTGCCCTCCACAAGAGGTACTATCAATTTGCAATCCCATTATCAGTGTATAAGGGAGCCTGTTCCTCCACAGCCTCATTAACAGAATGTGCTATCAAACTTCTAGATTTTGGCAATTTGGTATGTGGGACATGATACCTCAGTACATTTTAATTTGCATTTCTTTTATTTTGAGAGAAGTTGAACATATTTCTGTGATTAACAGTCACTGTATTTCTTTGTCATATTTTTCATTTTATTTTGATAAAAGTACTTGGTAAATGCTTTTTAAAACAAGGCAATATGAATTATATTTTATTATAAAATACAGATAGACAATTCTAAAACATACAGAAAATATAACGGAAAGTAAAATCAAAATGCTAAAAGTTACCACCTCCGGGGAATGGGGTAAAGAAGGAACTTTCTTCTTTCTACTTTTTCTCATGCTCTAATTTTATAGAATATGAAAACAGGTAAAATGTACCCAAAAATGCTAAGCATACTTTAAACTACAAGAGATGAGTTTCACTTTAATCTGTAAGCCAACTTAAACCAAAACTATGGATTCAAGTAATTATCAGTATGTGATTACAGTAAAAAAAAAAAATTTAAGAGTTAAAGTACTATCTACATTGAGATATGAAGCTTATAATAGGCTTTCCCCCTTCCATATGAGGTGAAGAAATTTTTAATGAAGTTTTATTCATTTGCTGCATTATTTTAAAAAGATTAATGATTAAAAGGTCAGTGATAAAGTAGAAATTCAAAATAACAAAAATATTTTCATTGAGTAATTTTAAGAAGTCTAATGCTTCCTTTTTCTGAAAATGATAAAATAGTGAATCCTTATTAATTTTGACATTATTCATTTACAATTTTACTGCATTTGAACAGGGGCTGGGCTAAAAAGTTGGCAAATAATTTATAAAATGTTTATCATTTGTTCAAAAACTAAGTTGCAGAAGACAGGAAAATAAGATAAGCAAACTAGAAACAATATCCTCAATGTAGTATTTCAAAAACAGCAGCATTCCTGCGTACTAAGAAATACTTACTACCTGGCCCATATGGAATATTTTATCACATATACAGAACCAGGAAACCTTCAGACTACCTAGCTACTAGAGTCAAGCAAACTTTTCCTTTAAGGACCAAGTAGTAAATATTTCAGGCTTTGCAAGCCACATGGTCTCTATGACAACCATTCACTTCTGCCATCGTGGCACCAAAATAGTCATAGATCATACATAAACAAATAGGAATGAATGGCTGTCATACAATTTTTATGTGTCACAAAAAATTGTTTTTCCAGATTTTTTTGAACCATTTAAAAATGTAAAACCACTCTTAGCTTGTGGGCTGAACACAGACACTAGTGAGCTGTATTTAACATAACAGGCCGTGGTTTGCTAACCATGATCGAGGTGAATGACAAACTTTTCTGATCATGACCTACTAGAAATACATTTTAAAAATCACTGTCCTGATGAGCCGTCTGGGTGGTTAGTCAGTTAAGTGTCCGACTCTTGATTTCGGCTCAGGTCATGATCTCAGGGTCATGGGATGGAGCCCCAATTCCGGCTCTGTGCTCAGCAGGGCGTCTGCTTGAGATTCTCTCTCTCCCTCTTTCCCTCCCCCTGGGCACACTCTCTCTAAAATAGATAAATAAATCTTTAAAACAAAATTACTGCCCTGAGTGCACGCATGCACATGCGTGCACACACACACACGCCCCTGAAACAAAAGTTTATGAAATAATACTTTGATGTACTACATGTGATACACTATTAGTTTCTCCTTTATCCTGGTTACTAAATGGGTATCAATCCATAGTTTGAGAAGAAAATTGACTAGAGAAATTAAGTTATTTCACTCCAACATGCACACAGAGAATTAATGGGACAGCCAAGTCCAGAATCCAAACACTTTACTTGCTTTTCAGGTGCCCTGTCCTGCCAGGACACACCACAGTGACTCATCACACTTATCAAGTCAAACCCACTGGTTCAAGTATGCTTGCTACATGCATTTATTCTTCCAGTCTCAAATTGTCACTTGAAGGAACAAATGCAGTTCCCCCACAGTTCCTGTGAGCATCTCCTAAGGAGAGCCTGAAAAGACAAATATGAGCAGAACAAACTTTGTCCCCAACACTGCAACCGTTCTCAGGGCTGCAACTCCTCATCTCTGTCCCCCAACATCAATCTAAATCCCCCTCTCCCTCAGCTCCACTCCTGCAAGTCTTGGATTAAGTGACCCAAATTTAGAGAGGCCTGAGCCCCTGGCAATCATATCATCTCATTTCAGGGTCACTGTAACATGCCCACTCACACTTAAAATGAGTGGATCACTTGAGTTCCACCCATATACAACCTGCTGCAATGGTGTGTACAAGCAATCTTACCTCCTTTAGCTGATCTGGGTCAAGATGGTAGAGCCTATTTCTGCCTGCTGGTCCTAGACACAAGAATCCACAGTAACCTGTTGGCAACCACAGCTTGTAGTGAAGTTGTACCCTTACTATGTCCCCCCCATGGAAAGACTACATCCACTTTGGGAACCTGGACTACTAACCCTGCAGAGATCAGAGGTACAGGGACAGAAAGCACCAAGGCCCCCAATGGGACGCTGCGAGCTACAGGAAGGTAGGACTACTTCTTGTCCCCACCTCCTGGTATGAGACTTATGTGTTCTCTCTTTTGGGGATACAGAACCATGTGGAAGTTTCTAGTTTGGTGCATATACACTTCATTCTGAAAGATGGCAACCCATCATTGCAGAGTACTTCCTCCTAGTTGGAGCTTCACCTGTGCTTTCTGAAAGCCATTCTAGCACTCCAAGAGGCCAGCTGCCTCTGGACAGTACAGTGTGTAATGCGACCAGTGGATGCCAGAGCACATGGTCACTCCTACACACCTTTCCAAGCAAAGTGAGTCCCCTGTTCTGATGCTATGTTGTATGTCATTCCATACCTGTGGTTCAAGGAGCCAACTGGTAGCATTAAACATATACTAAGTTGCTAAGTAAAAATGATTAATTTATATGATACATTAAATACAAAAAATTAATAAAATACAACCGTTGCTTTAAAAAAGCCTATAGTCCAAGGAAAATCAAATGCCCACAGCAGTGTCTTCCTATATCATTACATACTATATTCATAACAAGATCATAGAGATTAGGCACTAGTAAACCATCACCACAAAACCCTAAACATAATCATTGAAAACAGTCAAGCTGCACCACAATTGTACTTAATATGTCAAATATTACTAGATGGTAATAGTTAATACTATTTGTAATTTCTAAAATTAATAGGCAAGGTTTAATAACTTTAGTTACTGCTTTTATGAGTCCCAAATTTTCATACTATTTCCAATTTCAATTTTTGCAAAATAATACTGTCCACATTTCTATTTTTAAATCATATATCTAAATCAAGTTCAAATTATAATCAAATTACTAAATTAATATATTACTACTATTTATTCAAAGATTAGTACATTAGATATTCAGATGCCATCTAAATAAAAAATTTCTAAATTGTCCAATGGTCAGGTTTACTATGCTGGCTTCATCTGAATAAGTAATGAGCTTAGAAAAGAAACAAAGTTAACCCATAAGGATAACTGCAAATAAGTGCAAATTTCCAAAAAAAGGATAAAAAATTACATTAACTTTAATCCAGAGTACTTTTCTTCCTAAATACCCACATTTAACAATGGTCTTGTTTAAGAGAAAGAAGAAACCTGAAACTCACCTTTGTACACCATAAGGTCTTTCTAAAATAGGCTCTTTGAAGGGAGGTGGAATGTGACCAAAATAATCAGGATAAGCCACTTCTGAATATTCTGGGACAGACTTTGTATTTTTCACAATCTCAATATAGAGATCTGAGTCGTGGAGGGTGGGTCCATCAGAGACTTCCACTGATGCTTGTTCCACTGATGAAGTAGACTCTGTATCTTCATCATCCTCAGTTTCAACTCCTGTACAACAAAGCTTCCCTAGCTGAACTGTTCTTCCCTCAAACAGAACATTTCCACAAGTGGCCATGTGTGGACAAGTTTTAGTGCACGTGAGGACGGTAATAGGGAGACTGTAGTCCTTCTTCGCTCCTGCATTAAAACCTGGGGCTGTCTGAGAAGGGATATTCTGCAACGTAATTCGGTCCAACGCCTTCACAATATCATTGTTTAAGCCCTGGGCCGAAGAAATAGTTCTGTTTTGATCACCTAGCTGCTGTTGTGATGTTCTGTCATTATCTTTAATATCTTCTTTCGCCAAATCCATACAGGTAGGTTTATCACCTTCATCTCCTTTAGGAGACACATTTGCCTTCCTTACAACTCCTTTTTTTAAATTGCCTGGATTCCCAGATGCTTCCTCTCCCGCAGTAGGAACAACAATAGGACCACGTACTTTTCCCTCAAATACAAAAGGCTTTGGTTCTTTGGAGATTAAATCATAGTCCTTTGAAAATAAAAAAATATGTTTAATCTTTAATCTGTAAATATTAAAATATATTAACAAAACTAAGACTATATTCTTGTATATACTGCTTCAGAAAACTAACATTTGAAAATTATAAAAATGGATAAAACAGAGTACGTTTTAATTTCACTAAATAAAACACAAAATATTTAGCCACAAAATTCATCACACTTATTTTACTTTTTCTATTATAAAAATAATGCTTACATACAAGAGAAATACGGGAAATTTTACAGAAGCACAAAGACATTAAAAGCATCCAGACTCCTATTAAAGGAAACACAACTTAACTGTTATTCATTAACTCAACAATTAGTATATCTGTTTTGTGCCAAGCAGTGTTTCAGGCACTTAAGTACCATAAGCTTAAAAACAAAAATAGAAACAAAAAACCACTTCCCTCTTGCAGCTTACATTCTTCTATGGAAGGGAGAGGACTGTCAACACCACAAGTAATAAACATGACATAGGTGTGGGGGTAGCTCAGTCGGTTAAGCAGCCACTCTTGATTTCAGCTCAGGTCATGATCTGATCAGGGTCCTGAGATCGAGGTCCCCAACCCCATCAGGCTCTGCGCTTGGCAGGGAGTCAGCTTGAGGATTCTCTCCCTCTCCCTGTGCCCCTCCCCCCGCTTGTGCACTCTCTCTCTTCCCTCTCTAAAATAAATAATTTTTTTAAAAAAATGACATAAATGTATTTTATGGAACATGAGTAGGCTAAAGTGTTAAAGAGGGGTACTGTGGATTCGGAGTGTCAAGGGGTGGGAAGATGGGCTACAATCTGAAATCCCATGGATTACTGAAGCCTCCCTGAGAAGATGACCTAAAAGCAAAGGCAGAAAGGACTGCCATGCACAGAACCCAGAGTCGAAGAATGTCTGGGGTATGCAGAGAACAGCAAGGGGGTGAGGATGGCTGGCAAAAAATGAGCAAGATGAATTCCAAGATGTAAAAGAAGACCAGATCCTGTCGGGCTTTGCAGGCTATTTTAAGAATTTTGGTTTTTACTCTGAATGACACTGGGAGCCAATGGAGGGTTTGGGGAAGAGGAGTGCCATGAGATGGCTTACATTTAGAACAAAACACAACAAAATAGAACCTGTAAGTGCAGAGTTTCTTAACCACCTGGAATACAGGGTTTCTTAACCACAGGGGTTGAGACATTTGATCTAAATAATTCGTTTTTAGAGAGAGGGAAGCAAACCATAAGAGACTCTTAACTATAGAGAACAAACTGAGGGTTAATGGAGGAAGGTGGGCATTAAAGAGGGCACTTGTGATGAGCACTGGGTGTTATATATAAGTCATGAATCACTAAATTCTAGGCATGAAACCAATTTTTCCCTGTATGTTAACTAGAATTTAAATAAAAATTTGAAATTGTGTGTGCATGTGTGTGTGTGTATTTCTTTTTTGTTTGGTTTTGGTTCTGTATTTCAGGGGTCAGGGGTAGCAAGATGGGCAGCACTGTCTTGCACATTGTAAGATATTTGGCAGCATCCCTGGCCTCTCTCTTCTGTACACTGTAGATGCCAGTAGCATCCCCACCCATTTGTGATCACCAAAAATGTCTCCAGACATTGTCAAACATCCCCTGGAGACAAAATCATCGCAGTTGAGAACCACTGTTCTAATGTCCTTCTGAGGACTGAGGAGAGTAGAAGCAGGGGACCAATTAAGAGTCTAGGCAAGTTGGTAAGAAGGGGTTGGATTCTAAATGCACTGTGAGCCAGAAGTGCCATGATATTGTCAAAGACCAGATGCAGGATATGAGGTACAGAGAGGTGTCACACATGGTGCCTAAGTGCTTGCCTAAATAAATGAAAAGCACCAGTTTAGCTCTGAGAGGTTAAATGTGAGTATTAAAGTAGGCAATTAGACATATGAGTCTAGAATTGAGAAAAACTATCCATCCAGAAGATAAATATTTAGGAGTCATGAGCATACAGATACTATTCCAAACCATGAGACTGGAAATCATCAATGGAAAGAACTAAAGAGAAGAGAAAAGACTGAACACTGAGGCACTACAATCAATCTACATAGGTTGAGCAGATGAAGATAAAACAGAAGAGATGGAAAAGGAAAAGCCAGTCTGGAAAGACAAATACCAGGAAAGAAAAATGTCCTGGAAGCCAGGTTTAAAAAAAGAATACTGCTGATAGGTCAAGTAAACATCTCTCTTTTTATACTTACAGAAATTTTTTTTATCTATGTAAGACTCTACCAAAGAAATATACAATTGATTTAACCTTTATTCCACAGTTAGGCATTAAATCCTTTAAACAACAGTGAAGGATTTAAACACATGAACAAAGTGTATAACTGAGCCATTTCCAAAATTTTATTATTATAAAGAATTCCATAATGAACATTGTTTTGCATATATTTTTTCTTTGTTTAGGATGATTTCCTAAGCACTGACATGGACTTACAAGGTCAGATACTATAATCAATTTTAATGTTTAATACACATTGTCCAAATACTCTCCAACAAAACTTAATGCTTATTCTCAATAACGGTGTATGAGATTATCTATTTCAACTGCCCCTCTTCCTTGCCAACATCAGGTATTATAGTTTTAAAACACTTTTTCAAAAGTGGTCGTAAGAGATATCGCCTAATGCTATTTTAATTTTAATTTCTCTATGAGAAATTTTCTCTATGAGAAAAGCAAAAAATTTTCTATACATCTGTTAACTGGTTTAATTCTTCAGAGGTAACTTTTTTTGTTCCTGGAATATAGGGTTTTTCTTATTTTGTTGTATAAATTCATATATTAAAAAATACACACATACACACACACACACACACACACACACACTAATCCTCTAAGCCATTTTTTGCAAATATTTTTCTGAATTTGCACTTCTTTTAATTTTCTTTAACTTCTTTACACACATTATGTCATGAAAATTAAGAATCTTTTCCTCTGTGATCCATTCCTTAAATACCCACTGTATAAAAACCAGGGACTCAAAGATGATTCACTCTCAGCCCCTCTACCACATCTAATCGAAGGAGACAGTGGAGGCACAGAGGAGGCAGTAGGTAGGTGGCTCTGCATTACAGCTGTTAAAGGGAAAAAACTCTGTTGATTTATAAAGACTAGCATACAAAGAATGTGCTGAATTAAGTGACATTTAATATCTAGATGCCATTTTGATCCAAGAAGTCGCCTCAATATCAAAGTCAGTATACAGCACATGAAGTTTTCCCATAAACAAGAGTGTAATATGAAAGCTGCTTTTTTTAAAGAGTATAAGCACATGCCATGTACACAAATGAATTTAAAATAATAAGTTGAGGCAAACAGTTAAAAGAGGTTTTATTTTTAGAACAGCAAGTTACCTGTAAATATTTTGATGTTAGTCTGCTCAGCTATGATCTGAGATCATGCTGAATTGAGAACAACATCCCCCAAACTACAATTTAATGCATTGGGGAAAAAAACTAAAAACAGTAATTCCAGCTACAATCTTCAGATCACCCTCGTGATATGTGTTATGGGTCCATTCTTCCTGAAAGAACTTAAACTGAAGCAATTTCCCCTGTTTTGGAGAATTTTGTAGTTAATTTTAACTTTGACTATTGTTTAGAAAAGATGGGCTGCCTATGTAGATATGAAAGATAGTTTTTTCATAAAACAGATGTTTATTTTGTATTAAAAATACCAATGTACTTGTTTTACACCATTTGTATACATATGGTAATATTAATGCTGAACTGTAAAATTCAGGTATTAAAATGTGATCCTGTAATTCTAAAAAAAAAAAAAAAATTTCTGTTGTAGGAAACATGGTGAGCTAGGTATCAACCCACAGGAACTCTTACAGTTGTTGGATAAGATATTAAAATATTTTAAGTACAACAAGTGGATAAGACAGCAAAAACAAAGAACAAATAGTAATGAAGATGGGACCCCAAAGTGCTAAGACTGAAGGTGGCTTTCACTTGGAAAACATCTGCTAAACCAGGTGACCTGGGGTTTAGGTTTTTCTATCTCAGAGTATAAAGTATAAGAAACTATCCCAGAACCTGCATAAGGTGGGGAGTCTACCAAAAGATCCTCCTCCCATAAAGATGAAACCCCAGAGAATGAAACATTTGATATAAATTCCCTAGAAATAGCCCCACCACAAAAGAAATAGCAAAGAAAACCAATAGTCTCAAACCTTAGCACTAAGAGGGTAAAAAACATCACTACTCATAAATTAGTACCAAAAGTCTGCCATCACATCACACAGACTGCAGCCTGAATTCACATTATCTGAGGGGTCCAAACACCCTCAAGGAGGAATGTAACCTATAAGAGTGCCTGTCAAAAGGAATAACAAAAACTTCTGGAGTTTCCACATAAGCTCCACAAGCAGAATTATAAAGAACTGATCAGCTCACTGGAGAAAAAAAAACAACTAAATGAAAAATTAAGCAAGTAGAAGGAACTAAAACAAACATGTAGGAAAAGACCTGCAAGAATTTCAGACACTAAAATTATAAGACTAATTAAATGGCTATATGTAATATGTTCAAAGAAATAAAAGACAAGAAACAAGAAGTTTACCATAGCACATACCCTCCCCAATGCTATGGTGAGCACTATAAGACTGCTGAATCACAGATCTGTACCTCTGAAACAAATACTACATTATATGTTTAAAAAAAAGAAGAAGAAGAAGAAGAAGAAGAAGAAAAGGAAGAAGAAGAAGAAGAAGAAGAAGATAGTAGGAAGGGAAAAATGAAGGGGGGTAATTCAGAGGGGGAGACGAACCATGAGAGAATATGGACTCTGAGAAACAACTGAGGGTTCTAGAGGGTGGGGGGATGGGTTAGCCTGGTGATGGGTATTAAAGAGGGCACGTTCTGCGTGGAGCACTAGGTGTTATACACAAACAATGAATCATGGAACACACCATCAAAAACTAATAATGTAATGTACAGTGATTAACATAACATAAAAAAATGTAAAAAATTTAAAA